ATAAAAAATGAAAAAAATTCTTAAAATTTTTCTAGTGAAAATTATTTTAAAATGTTAAAGTTTAATTCATAGATAAATATGATAAATAAGAATAAATTCAATAAGAAATTAAAAAAATTGAAAATATTTTTGTTAAAGAAAAATTCCTAAATTCTCACACAAGAAAAAATTTTCTCTTTAATATATAAGGTTGATTTTTAAAAACTATTTAGTTATTTATTAAATTTTTTTAGTTTATTTTCTGATCATAGTTTAATTCTTGGTCTTTTTTTTTTTAATTTTAAAATAAGACATCTCACAATTCATTGAAAAATAATACATCTAAATTTGTACAAATGTTCATTAACACACATACACATACAGACATATATATATATAATAATCATTACAAAAATATTGTCATGAAGTGACATACATTTTATAGTGGCATATAATATTTACACTAAAACTATTTTTACCTATATTATAATAAGGACCATATATCTTAGTGTATTATTAAAAAAATGTAAATATAAATTATAATAACATTCAATATATACTTACTAAAATTATTTATGGATATATAATAAATAAATTTAAACATACATATATTATATTTATAGTGACATACAAAAATGTAACTATATATATATAACATTTCTTATAAAAGAATTAACTTATTGAATTTTAAAAACTTTTAACAATTTTTTCATTACGTAAGAATTTATTAAAAAAGATGTTAACTAAGAAGAGTAATTATATTGTGATTTGACTTAAATTAAAATTTTTATTTAATTATTTATTATATTAATATATACATAATCATTTTAGTAACGTATATTTTCAATTTTGTACTAATAATTGCCAATTTAAATTTTCATAAACTTATTTGATATTTTCATAATTTTAAGAATTAATATAAAATTGTCTTCCAAATTGAAAGACCAAAATAACCATTGATTCTTTATTTAATTAATTAAGAAATTAGTTAATTTTAAATATTTAATTGATTAATTTAACTTAAAAATTTAATTGATCATCTTAAAATATTTAAAAGTCGGCTTAAATATCTACATTTTCACCATTTATTAAAATAAAATGAAAATAGAATTTTAATCTATTAATAGTTTTCATAAATAATTAAAACAATGAATAATGATCAACAATCCATTTAATAACTTGAAAAATTTTTATTTTTAATTTTATGTATTTTTTTTATATAATAAAAAAAGCATAATTCACTTCTAGCCAGTAGATTCATACATTGAGTAACTCAAATAATTTAACTGATAATTTTAATTTTTAAAAAATTACAATTAGTTATTATAATGTTACACACACATGTGCACACATGCGCACGCGCGCGCGCACACACACACACACATATATATATAACAACTTAATCATCACACAACATGTAATGGAATCAACTAACCTGTTCATGTTCACCATTTAATCATTTAAACATATATATATATATATGTAATAATCACTACAAAAATATTCTCATGTAGTGACACACATTTTATAGTGACACAATATTTGTCACTAAAAACTATTTTTACTTATACTATAAGTATAATATATCTTAGTATATTATTAAAAAAGTGTAGCTATAAGTTATAGTAACACTCAATATATGCGGTTAAATCTATTTAAAATCAATACTAAAGTTATTTGTGGGTATATGACAAATAAATTTATACCTATATGTATTATATTTATAATGATATTTTTTGTATGTAACTATATATAATATTTCTTGTAATAAATTAACTTATTAAATTTTAAGAACTTTTAACATAATTTTTTCATTCCTTAAGAACTTATTAAATAATATGTTAACTAAAAACGGTAATTATAGTTGTGATTTGACTTGAATTAATATTATTTATTTAATTATTTATTTTTAAGTATATATATATAATCATTTTAGTTACATATATTTTTAATTTTGTACTAATAAAATTGCTAATTTAAACTTTCATAAACTTATTTGATACTTTCATAATTTTAAGAAGTAATATAAAATTGTCTTTCAAGTAAGGTAATTCATTTCAGTTGTGTTAGACCTGTATGATGAATATAATAAGAATTTTCATTATTAAATTATTGGTCATTGATATAATATCCGGAATAAGAACAAAAATATAGAGTATAACGTTAAAACATATCACTACTTGCATCCATTATTATCACAAATATAAAACACAACAAATATTAAAGAAAGAAAATTGAGAGAAAATAGAGAAGTCTTCTAATCTTTGCCTTTTCTGAACGTGTGAATCAATGGAGCATCCAATACTTTATACGTAAGGCTATGAACCCCTTCATAAACTAAAAAATGTAACTATCTCTTTAATTTGATTCCTCCATTAAAAGTAAATAATACAAAAATTTGAAACTTATAATAGTTATATCAATTCTAATAATGAGTCACTTAATGTTTATATTTTAACATTTTCCTATTTGGCTCATATATTATTAATGATAATCTTTATTTTGACAATCAAGTATGGTCATAATAGGTCAACTTAAATTTGATATTTTCACCAAAAAATAATTACACATGAATTGTAGCAATTATATTTTAGATTAAACATTTTCTTTCACATATTACAATGCATAATCTTACTTAGTGAAATATAAGGTCCTAACTTTATTAATTCAATATGAATCCATTCACAACTAACTTTAATGTGCACAATACCATATAAAAGAGAAGACAAATATTATTATAAACCTTATAAGACCCATTTGAATTACAAGATTTTGAAATACTTTAGCTAACAATCATTTTGTTAATGGATCAACAATCATGGATTTAGTGTCTATGTACTCTAAAGAGATTAATTATCTCTTGATGTCTTCTTGAACAACTAGAAACTTAATATCTATATGCTTATTTCAAATTCTACTCTTATTATTCTTTGAGAAGAATATTGCAGCTAAATGGTCACAAAATATGCTTAATGGTCCTTCAACAAGGTTACTTTAAGACAAAAAAATAAAGTTCTTCAACCATTTATCCTTTGATGTAACTTTGTAGCAACCAATGAATTTTGCTTTCATAGTATATGATGCAACAATGGTTTGCTTTTTTCTTCTCCAAGAGGTAGCACCTTTGGCTAAAAACCAAACAATTGTTGCATCATCTACTATGCAAGCAGAATTCATCGGATGCTACGAAGCTACATAACAGGCTAAGTGGTTGAAGAACTTTGTTTGTGGGGTCTTAAAGTTGTAAATTGTGTTGAAAGACTATTAAACATATATTGCAACTATTCAATTCAATATTCTTCTCAAAGAATAATAAGAGTGGAAGTCGAAGTAAGTATATAGATATTAAGTTTCTAATTGTTCGAGAAGACATCAATAGAGAATTAATCTCTATAAAGTATGTTGAGACTAAATCCATGATTGTTGATCCATTAACAAAAGGATTGTCGACTAAAGTTTTTATAATAATATTTGTATTTTCTCTTATATGACATTGTGTACATTAAAGTTGGTCATGAATGGATTCATATTGAATCAATAAAGTTAGGACCTATATTTCACTAAGAAAAAGTTACACATTGTAATACATGAAAGAAAATGTATAATCTAAAATATAATTGCCACAATTCATGTATGATTATTTTTTTGGTGACAATATCAAATTTAAGTTGACATGTTATGGTAATACTTTATTATCAAAAATAAAGATCATCGTTAATAATATATAAGTCAAGTGGGAGAATGTTAGAATATAAACATTAAGCGACTCATAATTAGAACTAACATTATAAGTTTTAAATTTCTACACTATTGATTTTTAATAGAGAAGCCAAATTAAAGGAATAGTTACATTTATGAGTTTATGAAAGGATCTCTAGCCTTATTTTCATAAAGTTTTTAATGCTCTATTGATTCACACATTTAAAAAAGGTAAAGGCTAGAAAATTTCTCTATTCTCTGTAAATTTTCTTTCTCTAATATTTGTATTGTTTCCATATTATACCTTTATTTTTTTATTCTTATTCCATAATTTATATCATGGACCAATGACTAAGTAATAAATATTTTGTTATATTCATCATAAAGGTCTAGTATTCTATTCTTATATGCCATCTCTTAATTGATCATGTGAATCTTTGGCTTGAATTCTTTTTTTGTTTAATTCGATAACTTAGTTCTTTCAAATTTATTTTGACATACATGATGTGTTGTATATATAATCATCAAATATAATTTTGTCGTTGCAGAATTCCTATGTTCTCTATAGGTAAAAATAATTAATTTTAAATATATTAAAAAAGTTAATTATTTACATTGAATTTGGTTACCTTTATACGATTCTTTCTAAATTATTCAGTTATAAATGTCAAAAAAAAAAAAAGATGCAACTAAAAAATGATGCAATAGAGAGAATTTAGAGAAAATACATTAAATATTACAAAAATACTTAAATTTATTTATATTTAAAAATAAAAAATATATTTATTTTTGTTTATAATACGGAACAGATGAGTTATTGGTTTTGAGCGCAGGGTCCACCATATCCCTCGGAGTGGGAGCAATCGTTTACTCATTTGCTAAATCAGTCGTTTATTAGTCTTTGTTTATACCGAAGTTCATCCTCTTAATCTAAGAATTCTGAGAATGTGATTCGTTATTTTTATTTCAACACTTTTAACCAGTGATAACACCTTCAATCCAAAGAAATTTTGATTCGATGAACATATTCATTCCAACTAGCAATTTAAGAGCAACTTTTTCCTGCAACCGATTTCTATCCCATAATTGTGCAGTGTGGTTTCATTTTTTGTTGAAAATCAACCGATGTTTATCCAAGAAACTGTAGCTTATATATATGTGTATGGAAATTAATCATCTCTAATTCCTCAAAAGTAAAAGTAATTTAAGCTACCGAGTGTAAAGGTACTCTTAGTCTTAAGATTATATTCCTGCATGCAAGCGAGGCGTTTACATTTTGCTATCTGCACACCATATATATCAGTTCCAAATACTATTTTAGGTGACAAAGGAGAATGAGAATTTTATTTATAAATAATTGTGATTTGTGACCCAGAGCACTGATACACATAGTTCGGTGAAATTAAGTACATGACATATATACTAGCTATTATTCTAGTACTGAAATCACAGAATTAAAGAACGACGCTAACATGCATGTCCAATATTTCAGCCATGCACTCAGTGGCTTATTGGTTATTTATTGCCCTGGCCTACGTGGATAATGATTTCATGGTATAGGGGTATATCCTCCACTACCACCATATGGACCATAAGTACTTGGCAAGTCACCAGCTTGGAAAAGTTTTCGCCCTGCACCGTATAAAAGGTGAATAAGCATGGAAAGATACAAAACAAGGATAGAAATTAAATCAACAATCCCATGTTCCAAGTTAGGAAATTACGATTTAAAGCCGCAAAATATGCATGTATGGTTCGGTTTGTATATTATGATTCTCACTATTGTAAAACTAACAGCAATTAACATACCGAGTTTAATACTAGGTTGAGCAGCACTTCCCAGCGTAGAGGACATGAGTAGTACAAGTACTGCTATAAGAGCAGCAAATGACATGAATTTGGAGGCACTGGGAAAGGCCATTTCTAACAATACAAAATCTATATATGTAAAGTAAACTAATATTGCAAGTTTGAGGATGGAAGTGTATCACTATAGAGTTGGTATTTATGGAGATGAATGATCGATGGAGATGATCACTTAGAAACGTGATCGTCCCGGCACTGACTATTTCTTCCTCGCATTTTGCGTAGAATTGGACAAAATAATTTTTAATACAGACACATCACCAGCTGTCAACATGGGTAGCAAAAATGCTGAAAGACTAAATTAATGTTGAACCAAATATTAGTTGTCGTGAACTTTATTGTAGTCAAAGCAAAGCAATATTTTCAAGTCAGATAGATGTCACATGTTGGACTAAACAGTTGTGTGCCTTTTTATTACGTACGCTTGTGAAGTTGAAAAGATCAATAGAAAAACTTTTTCATCTTAATTTCCATATTTGTCCATTATCTATACTTTTCCTGGACAGAGCCATCAAGTTTGTCTCAAGATTATATATATATATATATATATATATATATATTTAAC